AGAAGGGTTTTTAAGGAGGGGAGAGGGTGAGTGCCGAATAGGATAGCCTTAGCTTAAAAGGCAGAAACAATTAAAAAAGAGACATGATTAGGTATGGCGAGGCTGTCAGATATTAGGGATGGAGATTCTGGTAAAAGTGACTTTGTAGGTTTGGTTGTTTAACTGGATTTATTATTATTTATTTTTGTTTGTTTGTTTTTGTTTTTGCTTTTGAGACACGGTTTCTTTTTGTAGCTTTGGAGCCTGTCCTGGAACTCCCTTTGTAGACCAACTGGCCTGGAACTCACAGAGAGAGACCTGCCTCTGTCTCCTGAATGCTGGGATTAAAGGCATGTGCCACCACCGCCCGGCTCTTTTTTTTTTTTTTAAATGAAGTGTGTAAGTGACCTGAGGAGGTTTGGAGGCCCAACATTCGGCCAAGCAGAGAATCCCTGTCAAGGCAATGTCCCCTCACGGTGGCTGGCGGGATGAGCTTCAGTAGGCATCAGCCATACTCTTTGCCATTTAAAACAGCTTTTCATTGGCGTCTGGGGAAAAACATTAAGAAACAAGTGTTTGTGCATTGTTTGTAATAGCCTCATGATTAGAGTATGAAAATGACATATTTTCTCCCCTAAGCTGACTCTTCCTCCATACTAAATACTATTTGTGAGCATATAGGAAAGAAGGTAATGCCTAGAAATTTATGTGAGGGAAGCGGATGTTGAGAACGGAGAAGTAAGCTGGCATAGTGGCTGCCGTTGGCCGGTTCAGCTTCGTAGTTTTATTATTACCACATGGCGTCCAGGTCTGCCTCCTGCTCCCAGTTTGGTTTTCAGGTCATGATCTTGGGGTGTCTCCTTTCAAATCAGACTGGTTTCAAGAACCCTGCACTGGTGTGTGACTCTGTGGCTGCTCGGCCTTTTTCCTCATCTGTAAGTGGTGACAGCCATCCCGCGTCACAGACGTCACTGTGTAAGTGACTGTTTCTGGAACTCTTGGCTCAGGTTTGGATGTAAGTCGAGCCATGTGGAGCGGCTGTGGTTAGTAACTTCTCTAAGATAGGAGATGGCTGTATAGTTTGCCTGTGGCCAGAGCATCTCCCACTTGGTTCTTGCCTTTCTGTGCTTGTTCCCAGCTGAGTGTCTTAACAACCTGCACCTTTAAATCTTAATGCCGATGATTTGCTGCCCCCTGCAGGTGAATGTGAGTAAAGCAACTGAATTATTGCTGGCTGGCTTTGCTAGATACTTAATCCATAACCAAGTATGGGTGTTACCAAAGTCTTTTTTTCTGAGACATTTATTTTTATAGAAAACCTAATGAAATATTTGATTATCAGGGCTGCAGAGATGGCTCCGTGGTTAAGAACACTGGCTACTTTTCCAGAGGTCCTGAGTTGAATTCCCAACAACCACATGGCAGCTCACAGCCATCTGTAATGGGGTCTGGTGTTCCGGCACACATGTAAATGTGCATTCACACATGAATAAATAAAATTTAAAAATATTTGAATATCCCTTACGTGGTGGTTTGAAAAACAGCCCCCCAAAGGTGTGGCACTATTAGGTGTGGCCTTTTTAAAGGAAGTGTGTCACTGTAGAGGTGGCCTCCGAGGTCTCTTTTGCTCAAGCTTCCCTCTGTGTGATAGTCAGCTGACTTCCTGCTACCTTCTGGTCAAGACGTAGCCAGTCACATGCTGCCATGCTCCTGCCATGATGATAATGGGCTGAACTTCTGAGACTGTAAGCCAGCCCCCTCAATCAAATGTTTTTATAAAAGACGCCATGGTTATGGTGTCTCTTCACATCAATAAAAACCCTAAGACACATTATCTGAAGTTTTTGGGCTCCATGTATTTCATATTTTGGCTTTTGTCATTGTTTGGGTTAGGGAACATGTATGTGAACTCTACTGATTGATAATCCTGGTTGAAAATCCAAACCCGGGTAATAGTCATTGTTTTCATACTGAGTGTTCTCACCCGTGCCGGCATCCTTTCAGGTTCTTTTTGGAATAGAAGATTCCCCCATACACTAGCAATTTGATGCTGTATTTCTCTCCTTGCCTATTTAGACTTGCAAGATAATGTGTATTTAAAAGCATGGAAGAGCTTTTGCTACAGAAGGCAAAGTTTAATACTCGAATTCTGTTAGCGCTCTCTGATTTGAGTCCTGTGTCATCAAGAACTTAGTCCCAAGCAAAACATCAAGTCAGATGATTTTAGCTTTATGTTGCACGGGCTGATGGCGGCTCACGTGTGTGTTGCACGGGCTGATGGCGGCTCACATGTGTGTTGCACGGGCTGATGGCGGCTCACGTGTATGTTGCACGGGCTGATGGCGGCTCACGTGTATGTTGCACGGGCTGATGGCGGCTCACGTGTGTGTTGCACGGGCTGATGGTGGCTCACGTGTATGTTGCACGGGCTGATGGCGGCTCCATGTATGTTGCACAGGACTGAATATGCATTACCATTTCATAAGGGGAAGAAGGGAGGCTCGTGAGGAAATGCTGGTCCAAAGCAAGATCACACCCCAGGAGGCAAACTCTAAATCACAGCGCTCCATGCCTGGTGTTCGAAGGTGGTTAGATGGCTCTTCCGTCCGGCTTTCCTGACCGCAGCACACTTCTTTCTCTCGGGTTAGCTCCACACCCTGTATGTAGATCTCTTTGGCGGGTGTCCCACATCTCTAGCATCTCCAACATCTTGGGGTGTCGAAGGAAATGCAGGCTTCACCTTCCAGCTTTACCCAGTGGCCTTTCTGGGCATGTCTCTGTGGCTTTCCTTAGTAGGAAGCAATTATTGAGTGAGTTTTTCTACCCTCTGATTGCATCAAGAACAATCTCTGCTCCTGAAAGCATATGTGAGTTCTGCTTGTTAGTCCAAAGTGTAGTTCCTGAACAGACTTGTTTGTGTTACTTTTGCTCCTTTAATAATTCTTTAACATCTTGTGCGTGGGCCACTGTTTTGGTACTGCGATGCTAATTATTATACTTATTAATTACTTTTAAAAGTTATTATGCAATAAAACCCACATCAAATGCCTCTGTCCTGTGCATACAGCCATACACGGCTCTCATTGCTTTGTGGTTTTCTTACGTGTATTGTGGCGCTGGCTACCTGTTCAGCAGGGTGCGTTCCCTCCTGCCTGCCTGCCTGCCTGCCCACATGCCCTTCCTCTGCCGGTTGGCATCGCGCTGGGAGGGGCGCCCCATTGCTGATTCGGGTGGACTGTGGCAGGATGAAGGCAGTGGCACTGACAGGAAGAGGAGGAGTCTGTGACCTGGGAATGCTGGGAAGGGTGGGCGGACTGTGGCTAGGTTGAGTCACAAGTGGACAGCAAGAGGGCACCAGAAAGCTCAGTAATTAAATCATCTGTCAATACAACATTTTGAAAAGGTCAGAATCAATGCAAACAAAATCCATGTTAACAAAGTATCAAAAAGTTAACCAAGGCAAGGCCAGTGGCTGAATTACCAGTGCAGAGCAGCTTTAGAACCTGAGGCAAAGGCAGTGTCAGCAGGGCTAACTAATCCTTTCTGTCCTAAAGTTTGCTGCTCTGGGCTGGGTGTTGTGGTGGCACACACCTTTGATCCCAGCACTCTGGAGGCAGGGGCATGTTGGTCTTTGTGAGGTCAAGACCAGCCTGTTTTACATAGTTTCAGGACAGCCAGAGCTACGTAGTGAGACTTTGAATTCCCTTCCCTTCAATTTTAAAAATTGGATTAAAAGATGCATTAGTTTGTTTTCTTGCTGCTGAGAGAAAATGCCTGAGAAAAGGAGCTGGAGAAGAGAAGGGCTTCAGTCGGGGAAGACAAGAAGCAGGACCAGGCTGTAGAACCCCAGGGCCTGCCCCATTGACACAGTTCCTTTGCTGAGGCTCCATCTCCTAGAAGCTCTACAACCCTTCAAAAACAGAGCCCTCAGGTGGGGGCCGACAGCTCAAACATAAAAGCAGGCTTGTGTGGGATACTTGACATTCAAACCTTAATCAAATACAATTACGATTTTTGGTGGCTTTTTGATTTCTCTACCCGATGTTTTATCTGAGCTGGCCTTTAGATGGGGCTGGACAGGGAAAGGCAAGAGCTGGAGATGGTTGCCACACTGGCCACGCTCTAGAAGAGTGGTCTTAATAGGCACTCTCTTTCAGGGAAGGAGTGCTGTGGGTTTGGAAGTCTCTGTGTTGTTGGTCACGTCTCTACATAGATACAGAGAGCTGTTTGTCCTGGAGACTGTGGAACCCAGGCTTGGAGCTCTCAGTCCTTCTGTGTCAGCCTCCAGAGCACTGGGACCGCAGGCCTGTACTGCCTTACCCCATGGCATTGTACTTAAGATTCTCAGTGAGGTGCAGGCTTATGAAAAGCTGCAACCAGTTTCCTACCTCCGCTGCCTCCGCTGCCACCTGGGAGGCAGCAGAATCGACTTCCGTTAGGGCATTTGGTTTGCTCTGTCATGGAGATTGTCTCACAGGGACCTGATGCGCACACAGTCTTCCCCCATGGGCTGGTATGCAGGACTTAAAATCTTTTCTCTACTCTCTGCTGATTTATTTGTGCAGTATTTTAAACATTGATGTTTTGTTGAGACAAGATCTCCTGTAACCCGGGCTGGACTTAAACTTGATCTTAGCTGAAGTTGGCCTTGCCTAGTGATTGTCCCGTCTCCTCCTAAGTGCTGGGATTATAAGCATGCACACTGTGTTTAGTATAAAGGTAGGTCATGGTAGGACCCCGTTCTTCTGCTCTGTTGTAATTATTTTGAGATGGATACTGAGAGTGAGTAGAAGCTGAGACGGGCACGTTTCTCAGTGCAGGGGTTGGCATTCGAAGCCTGTGCTTTTTTTTTTATCGGCTCTCCCAGCTTTTCATCTTTCCCCAGGATCCCTTCGGTATAGAGAATGAAGGGGTCTGGCTGTAACCTCAGTGACTTTGTTCGCGTTGGGACAGTGGAGCAGCTGTAGGGGTTTAGGTTAGCTTTCACATTTGACATGGTTCTCTTCTTCTTTAACCCCAAGGTCTGCTGAAGACAGAGCCAGTGGCCGAGGAAGGAGAGGATGCCGTTGCCATGCTCAGTGCCCCGGAGAACCTGTCAGAGGAGGAGCAAGATGAGCTGAGAAGGGAACTTGCTAAGGTGAGGGCCATCCTTTCTGGACCTTTGCCTTCCCCAAAGACCCTGGTGATAGCTTATGGTAAAAGGCTCAGGGGAAAAGAGAGCATCATGAACAGGAATAACCTGGAGTCTCAGCAGGGCAGAGGAGGGAGAGGGACTCCAGTTGGTTTTCAGGTGGGTCTGGGAGTCAGGTGCAGTGGGAAGTGCGGAGTACACTGTCAGACCCGTGAAGCAAGTGCTCACCAGACTCATCCTTGTCGTTGTCCATGTTGTGGATACAGACAGCCTCATCCCTGTTGTTCGTGTTGTGGATATAGACAGCCTCATCCCTGTTGTTCGTGTTGTGGATATAGACAGCCTCATCCCTGTTGTCTGTGGGTGTGGATATAGACAGCCTCATCCTTATTGTCTGTGGGTGTGGATATAGACAGCCTCATCCCTGTTGTCCGTGTTGTGGATATAGACAGCCTCATCCTTGTCCGTGTTGTAGATATAGACAGCCTCATCCCTGTTGTCCGTGCTGTGGATATAGACAGCCTCATCCTTGTTGTCTGTGGGTGTGGATATAGACAGCCTCATCCTTATTGTCTGTGGGTGTGGATATAGACAGCCTCATCCCTGTTGTCCGTGTTGTGGATATAGACAGCCTCATCCTTGTTGTCCGCATTGTGGATATAGACAGCCTCATCCTTGTCCGTGTTGTAGATATAGACAACCTCATCTCTGTTGTCCGTGTTGTGGATATAGACAGCTTCCTCCCTCCTTGCTTTTCTTCTTTGCTTCAGACTTTAGCCTGACTTCCAGACAGATTTCCAGCTCCGACTTTCCATAGCTTTCGCCTCTAAAATTCTTTCGCTGTTGTGTTGTGTTTTTTTTTTTTTTTTTCAAGACAGAGTTTCTCCATGTAGCCCTAGTTGTCCTGGAATTTGCTCTGTAGACAGACTGACCTCGAACTCAGAGATCTACCTGCCTTCTGAGTACTGAGATTAAAGGCGTGTGGCACCACTGCCTGGACTATAAAATTATTACAATGGTCTATTTCTCAGTGCACAGTTCAATGTCCTTCAGCACAGTCAGTGTCATAGCTGTCCCCTCTTTCAAGTTATGAACATTTTTTTCTGTTCCAAGGAGCCCCCCGCACTCCTTAGCCACCTCCTCTCAGCTGTTTTTCTCCTCTGGATTTAACTGTTTTCTGGATAGTTCATATACAACACCTGGCCTCTGTATCTTGACTTCCTTCAGCAGTGCTCTCAGGATCATGCTTTTGGGGCTCATTCCTGCTGTGCCATCTGTCAGTAATTTGTTCCCTTTTTATGGCTAATAATAGCCCACTGTGTATTTGTCTACCATATAGATGTGTTGTTCATATGTCTGGTAGCCAGGTGCATTATTGACAGCTGTGGATAGTGAACCAATAACATTTGTGTACAAATGATCTTTTTGAATCTATTTTGTATATGCTTAAAAGTAAGATGATTTCACCATACAGTAATTCTACACTGAATTACATTTTAATAATACATTCGTGTATCTATTCATTTGTGTGCGCATGTGCGCCCGTGCACATATGGAGGTCAGAGGACAGCCTGCAGGAGTAAGTTCTCTCCTTCCACGAAATGGATTCCAGGGCTGGTGCACAGGTTTGGTGGCAAAGCCCATGTTTTAACTTTTTAACGGCGTCACCAAACTGTTCTCCACAGCAGTGACTCTGCTTTACAGTCTCATCCTGATTTCTTCACATTCTTAGTAAAACAGGCTCCTCCTGCATCCTTTTATTAAAGTGTATGCGTCATTGGGTGAGAAATGAGATCCCACTGTGCTTGTGATTTGGAATTTCTCCAATGACTGGTGATACTGAGCCTCTTGTCAGCTTACTGGCCATTTGTATATTTTTGGGAAAAAATACTCATTAAGTCCTTTGTCCATTTAAGAAATGGGTTATTTTTCAAATGTAAGAATTATATATATATATTCTATATTCTATACCCTTACAGATTTGTGATGTCCAAGCATTTTCTCTTACTCTGTAACTTACCTTTTCACTTTCTTGCAATTAAAGAATTGATAGGAATTCAATTTCAAATACATTTCTTATTTCAGGAGGAATTTTTGTGGACTGGGAGGAAGCAGGTCTACATGTACGCATGTCGAGGCCAGGGGACACCCGCAGGTTCACATGTATGTGTGCCGAGGCCAGGGGACACCCGCAGGTTCACATGTATGCATGTCGAGGCCAGGGGACACCCACAGGCCCACACGTATGCGTGTCGAGGCCAGGGGACACCCGCAGGCCCACATGTATGTGTGTCGAGGCCAGGGGACACCCACAGGTTCACACGTACGTGTGTCGAGGCCAGGGGATGCCCTCTCATCAAGCACCCTCCACTGTTTTAAACTCTGCGTTTGACACAGGGTTTCTCTGTGATCTGTAACTTGCAGGCTCCTGGCATCTTCCGCCTCTGCCTCCACAACACTGGGGTGACAAGTGTATGCCACCACACTTCAAAACGGAAACAAAAATCGGGGTCCTCGTTTACACAGTGAGCACTTGACTGACTGAGCCCAGTTCGTTTACATATTATGAAGTTCTCGCTTTAAAGTGTTTGGTTTATATTCCCAGGGTTGTACAACCAGCACCATGTGCACTAGAACATTTTCCTTATCTTTGAAAGAAGCCCTGTTCTTATTGACAGTCACGCCCTTCCCCAGCCCCTAGCAATTGCTGGTCTGGTTCCTGCCGTAGACTCACCTGCACTGGGCATTGCATGTGTATTGGGGACCTCTGAGTGCCAGCCTCAGTGTCCCCTCAGGGTCCAGAAGACTCCCAGCAAGCGTGGGACTTAGATCTGAGGGAGAAATGAACTCCCACTACGTACTTCTCTGCATCGGCTTCTTTACTCTTCTCTGCTGTCCTATTCTCCAAAGCTTCCAGCTTATATACACAGGCAAAACAAAGGCAACTCTCGGAGCTTGGACGTCCCTTATCTTTGACGGTCCCAAATGTGTATGTCTGTTTGTGCTGCCAAACGGGAGATAGCTGCAGGGAGGTGGCTTCTAATGTATCTCAGGGAACGAAGCGGAGATTAGACTGTGGGAATCAAGGCTATCGACCACGTGACTGAATTTCCCACTGCAGAGTGGCGGCAGGATGACTCAGTACACCAGGACATGGGAAAGAGTTTTACCTACTTGTCCATACTCTGCTGAAGCTTGTACCAAGGGAGAGTGCGTGTGGCTTCACAAGAGATCCACTGTGATATGCAAAAGGTGGTGGGCCCAGCGCCTTGCGAGCTGGGTTTATCTCCATCAGAGCTCGTTTGTTCTGGTGGGTCAGCCTTCTGCTCTGTCAGCTGAAACTCACTGCGTGATTCCTGTGGACCGCAGTAGACGTGGATGTCATTTTAGTTTCTGTTATGTAGGGAGACGTGAGCAACCAGCTACCCACGTCAGATAGGTGAGTAGACAAAAGTACGGATGCCACCCAAGTCCAACCCAGTGAACCAGGGAGTTCTGTTGAAGTCATTAAAAGAATATGAATGAGCCAGGTGGTGGTGGCACATGCTTTTAATCCCAGTACTCGGGAGGCAGAGACAGGAGGATCTCTGTGAGTTCGAGGTCAGCCTGATTTCCAGAGTGAGTTTCAGGACAACCAGAGCTGTTACATATAGAGAAACTCTGTCTTAGTCTTCCCTCCCCCAAAAGAGTGTGAGTGGCGGATTACATTAAGAAGCAGGAATTACTCAAAGACAGCTGCATCGCCAAAGCCCACCCCAGCATGAGTGACAGCTCATCAAAGCTGGGACTCTGAAACAGACTGCATAACTTGTGAGCGGGTCAACAGGCCAGAGTGTCTTTTCCTGGGTCGCTCAGTTGGCCTGAGCCCCATCTAGGCTGCTCTCCTGGTCTTGCTGCTGCTTCTAGGAGGTCCAGCTGGCTGGTCTGTTTTGTGTGTCTCTGTCTCTCCCACCCCCATCTTGGCTGGTCTGAGCACCTTCTAGGCAATTCACTTTCTAGGCAGCTGAACTTGCTTGAGCAACTTGCAGTAGTCTTTGATATTTTTCTTATTCTGTTGGCTTCCTTTTGTCTCTTAATAATGAACTCTGAAATGCAGCAGGTCTTAAGGTTTTGGAGTGTGGTATGGTTTGAGATAGGGTCCCTTGTGGCCCAGGCCTCCATCACTCCAGTACCCCGGCCTCCATCACTGCAGTACCCCGGCCTCCATCACTGCAGTACCCCGGCCTCCATCACTGCAGTACCCCGGCCTCCCATCACTCCAGTACCCCGGCCTCCATCACTGCAGTACCCCGGACTCCATCAGTCCAGTACCCCGGCCTCCATTACTCCAGTACCCCGGCCTCCATCACTGCAGTACCCTGGCCTCCATCACTCCTGTACCCTGTCTTCCATCACTCCAGTACCCCAGCCTCCATCACTCCCGTACCCTGTCTTCCATCACTCCAGTACCCCAGCCTCCATCACTTCCGTACCATGTCCTCCATCACTCCCGTACCCTGGCCTCCATCACTGCAGTACCCTGGCCTCCATCACTGTAGTGGCACAGCCTCCATCACTGCAGTACCCCGGCCTCCATCACTGCAGTACCCCGGCCTCCATCACTGCAGTACCCCAGCCTCCATTGCTGTGCCCTCACAGCGCTGTTTTCATTCGTGTCTTCGCTTAGGTCAGTCTCCCCTTCCTTACCCACCACACTGAAGGAAGGGACTTTAGCTGCCAGTATGCTGCAGTAGCATGCTCTAACCAACAGATGTGAGCCACTGGCTTTGCCTTGTTGGGGAAGAGACAGTGACTGGTCTTTCCATGAAGCTTTGGAGGTGTTTGTTCCCGGTGACCAAGTGCCATGTGAAGAAGACCTGGATGGAAGCTCTGCCTCCCCGTCATTGTTAGTGACTGAATGAACCATACAACTTCCTGATTTGGACAGCATTCATTCTCCCTTCTCCTCATAATCCACCTTTTCCTTGCACATCCGAAGCGTCTCAGCAGTCAGGGTTAACACTGAGTCCTCTGAGCATCTGTCTTGGACTCACTTGTCAGCTAATGCCTTCTCAGTGCTGTGCTGGCATAGTCTGCTCCTTCCCTCCCCCTGCCTCCCTCCGGAGATTGTTTATCCTTCCCTCCTTTGCTGGACAGCCTATCACGTCCTGATCTGAAGATGTACTTGCTGGTTGAAACTGATTCAGCAAAGGTGTTTGTTGCCCCCTTGGCTTTGGGATCCTTGACTTGTGTGGCAGGTCAGGTGGGGCTGAGGGTGCCGCTGGCAGCAAGCTAAGGGAAGTGTTGTGCAAGGGGAATGAATAGACTTTAGGGACCCGATTTTTCTTTTCTACTGATTCTCAGTCAGTCAGTCAATATCCCAGCTGCAGCTTTCTCTCCCTCGTCTCCCAGTCCCTTCCCCAACTCCTCAATCCATTCCTCCTCAATCCATTCCTCCTCAATCCATTCCTCCTCAATCCATTCCTCCTCAATCCATTCCTCCTGTGTTTCTGTTTGGGAAAGGGCGCGTCTCCCATGAGCATCAACAAAACATAAGTTGCAGTAAGACTAAGCACCTCTCCACGAATTAAGGCTGACCCAGAATGAGGAGTAGGGTTTGAAAAGCCAGTGAAGAGTTAGAGACAGTCCCGAGCTCCACAACTGTCACATGTATGCAGAGCGCCTAGGTCGGACCCATGCAGGCTCCATCGTGGAGCCCAGTTTTCAGTTTCGTCTCTACCTGGTGTCTGCGTCACATGGTGACATTTCCGTTTTCTCTCTGTGATGTAGCCTTCTCTTCTACCACACCTCACTTGTTCCTAGATGCTTCTGTCTCCAGATCTTTTCAGCGTCTTCCACCATGATCTCCTTCCTTCAGTCAGGCTCCTAGAAGAGAGGCTGAGTCTAGCTCCTCTTTCCCGCCAGGCACCCTGCCCCAGCATACCCGGCCATAGCTATTCTAGGGTTGGAGATTCACATAGTGCGGGGCTCTCTAGGGGACGTCGTTTAGTTCATACAACTCTGACTTTGGCAGGCTCACTATGAAGTCTATGAAATACACAAGAGGGTTGGCTGCGAATGTCTCGGTGGCGGATGGAGATGGCTCCATGTCGTAAACAACTGCTTTTGTGGCAGTTGGGTAGAAGGGTCTGGAAGGAGAGCCGTGGATGCTGGGCTGCTACAGCGGATGTAGATGTAGCAGTCACCTGTGAGAGGTTGAAGCCCTGAGGCTTCTGAGATAACAGAGCAGACAACTGACAGCTTAGAGATTAGCTCTGAAGGAGAGAGCATCATGTGTCTACCCTGCTTACTAAACCATGCTGTTTGTAAAGACACATATAAAATTAATAAAAATTTAACTGTAGTCAGGTGTGGTGGTGCACACACTTTTAATACTAACACTTGAGAGACAGAAGCAGGTGGACCTCTGTGAATTTTTTTTTTCCTTTATTGATACAGGATTTCTGTTCTGGGTAGCCCTGGCTGTCTTGAAACTCCTTATGTGTTGTAGACCAGGCTAGCCTGGACTTCAGATCTGCCTGCCTTTGGCTCCCAAGTACTGGGATTAAAGGTTGTGTCACCACCACCCAGCAAGATCTCTGTGAATATGAGACCAACCTGGTCTATAAAGAGTTTCAGCCAGCCAAGAATACATAATGAGATTCTTCTCTTAAGTGAACAAACCACCTCCCTGAAAGTAATCATAGTGTCTGAGCATGGTTTGCTTTGATGCCCTTAATAACTCACAGAGCAGTCCTTGCTGTATTTTCTCCTCACCCCTGTTCCTCATAGGTGGAAGAAGAAATCCAGACTCTCTCTCAAGTGCTGGCAGCAAAAGAGAAACATCTTGCAGAGATCAAGCGCAAACTTGGGATCAGTTCACTTCAGGAATTGAAGCAGAACATCGCCAAAGGGTGGCAAGACGTGACAGCGACCTCTGCGTATGTTCCCTTGGTGTACACACTTCTAGACAGTGTGAAAGATGCGTTTGCACCTCTTCTTTGGGGAGAGGAAGAGGAGGGGCATGAGGATGTTTGCACCTCTTTTCTTTGGCCCACACAGCCCTTTCTTCCCGTTCTTCAGAGCACTTGACTGTTTTCTAATGTTGGTTTTCCGGAACATTCTAAGGAGTAGAGAGCAGAACAATCTCATGTGTGGGTTGTGGGAACAATATTGAAGTATTGGATAGTAGTCCTTCCTTCCTGTGTGTGTTTTTTCTTCTTCCTCACAGTCAGAAAATATTAAGTGGATAATTCTAGGCATAAAACTCAAGTTTTAAATTGCATGCTATTCTGTGTAACTTGACTAAATCTTTTGCCATCTTGTTTTGTACAGCTTGGGACATGATTCATCCCCTTTTCCATTGTACCCATGTTGTATGACCACCCAATCCTCACTGATTTCGTGGCCATTTAAGAGAAGACGACATGGTATAGCTAGGGTTCAGTGTAAGCAGTGATTGTTGGCATCCACTAGTGATCTTATAGCATACTGCAATCAGCTTAGGGAGGGGACATCTGTATATTGGCTTTTCCAGTATGTACTCAGTGATATTTAGTCCTCAGAACCCAGTAGATGGTGACGAGATAACCCCAGAGAAGGTATAGGCTCAGATAAATGAAATTTTTAACACATGTGCAGCTTTTGTAGGGGGAGAGGGCATTTGAGTTTGTGAGCCTTACCCTGATAACTGCTTGATCCATTCCTTTCTAGGCCTCTGTGGCAGAGGGATTGTTGCTGCTCTGATGGTTAGAGAGAACATTAGAAGTTATTAAACTGTTCTGTTCTTGAGTTTCTCAGTAGGTGATGACACTGTGCTGGGATTTATAGGAAAGCCCGACTGACCCCTCTCCCCCGTTTAATCATGTTTGACTGTAGGTACAAGAAGACATCTGAAACCTTGTCTCAGGCTGGACAAAAAGCATCAGCTGCATTTTCCTCGGTTGGCTCAGTCATCACCAAGAAGCTGGAAGATGTGAAGTATGTGTATACATTTCCCTTGCTCACCCAGTAGTTGTAACAAACTGAACTGGTGCTGGGATCGCTGTTGGTCCCTGCCTGTGGGCCACAGTGCTGCTGGGTCCCCTTCTGTTAGAGGGAGGGAGGGTTTGCCTTTACACCAAGGCCTGCAGTGCGAGCCTGAATTTTTAGAACTAGTATTCTAAGCTCCAGAATGAGTCCCTTTAAGGGCTTTTGAAAAATTCTGGTTGCAAACTTTTGCATCTCGGTCCTTCTTAGTCCTGCGGTATCAGTCTGTCTCTGGTGTTTGCAAATGTGGATTGTGGGCGGAGCCAAGCATCTTTCTGGGGACGAGTACAAGAGCACAGAAGCGCATGCTTGGCCTGAGAGTGTCACTGTTTGTGTGTGACATTTGTGTGTCATGGTGTGGCTGCAGGATGCTTCTGTGTGCACTGGTTTGTACTAACCCATAGCTTTACGTACACCCACACTCAGGCCCGGGTCTTCATTTTGAGTTTCTTTTTTTAAACTGTGCATCTATATTTGAGATTAGTTTGCAGAATGTTTCTTGTCATTTTGGTGAAACCGCTTCGTGGTGCTTTTGTGCTCCATCTACTGCCATGATTGGAATAGTGCCAACGTGGACAACATGGCTTACGTGGGCTCTGCTTCTGTTGGTGTGCACACTTGTTCGTCTTTTCCTAAACCCAGATTGCATGACTTGGCATTTTTTATTTGTGGGGAAAAAATAGGTTTTACAACCAGAATTTTGTTAGTTGAATTGGTTTGTTCAATTACTATTTTATACTGTGTATTAAAACCCATTTCTTCATTCATCGCATTGAGAGCACCACGGTTGTAAACATGGCGCCATGAGGAGGGATTTCCTGACCCTCGGACAGTCGTGTGTGTAGTATATCAGATGCCCTCAGTTCTTCCATGCTGACTGGCTCTTCAATGTGTTAGGGGCTATGTAAAACATGCGCCCTTAATAAAAGTAGGTTATTTAATTGTGACAGATTCGTCAGAACTTCCTTTCTGTTTTAATGCTTCCTCTGGCTTCTTACAGATTGCAAGCCTTTTCACATTCCTTTAGGTAAGGAGAGCGAAATGCCTGCTGCGGCCACGCATCTGTGTGAGACAAGCATGCGAGAGCGGATGTTGATGCCTCGGTGGATGCTTGTGTGTGTCCACTGTGATTTTCCTGCACTCGCGCTAGCTCAGACCTGAGTGTTTCTTACTCCAAGGGAGGGTTCCTTGTGTGCCATGTGTAATGAACCAGTTGAAAGAAGAATTTGACGCTGCTGCACAAGGGATATGGAAATGATGTTTGAAGTTTCAGTGATTATTGTCATTATTTTTACCGTGGCATACAGAATTCCTCCCTTTTGATGTCTGACTTTGTTTGGTTTTGATGCTTTTGTTTCTTTGGTGCTTTTGTAAGGATGCTGGGATTCTCCTTCATGTGTGTCCTATGATGTAATTATAATAGACTGCATGTGTGCTGTCTCGTGGTAGTCGTCATCTTATAAAGGTTTCAGTGCTCTTTTTGTGTGTGGTAAGACAGACGTCAGATCTTACCCACCATGTACTTCTCAATATTTGTCTTATTAGCTCATAGATTTTGCTGTTTTATTATTTTCTGCTAGCTGTTTTTTTTAAGCATACAGGGTAGTTTTATGGTTTGTCAGTGAAAATGGGGTATGAGAAAGTACAGGCTATGCCCTGTAGGTGTCGCGGTGACGGTTCTGATTATGCGATTATAAATGGAGGCTTTGGAGGAGACAAGAGGAGATCTTAAAGAGTAAGCAGGAAGGGTGTCTCCGTCTCCATCTCTCTTCTGACTGGAGCACATCATTGTCTTAAGGGACTTGTGCTATGATTTAGCTGCCACTATTTTCCCCCTTCCCTGTCTCCCTTTCTGGTTATTAATTCTTAAAGTCAGATTACAAAGAGATGACTTTCCTTATGGCGTTTGCATACGTATATGTCATTATACTTTCTTGTTATTCATCATGGCTTCTCCCACGGCCATCTCCCAACCCCCCTCGCTGGCCTCTTCTACCCTCCCATGGTCCTCTAATCTTCTTTCCTGTTACATGAATTCCATCATCCTCTGCTTTTCCTTTCTTTCCTCCCTCCCTCAAGATCTCCTCCTTCTCAGGGTCTCCCTTCTGCTCCCTCCCTTCTCTTGGATAAGCCAGCCGACACATACAGCTCTAATTTTGGTTGCACCTAGTCCTGGAAATCAGAATAAATCATAGAGATGCATACACTCATTGCTGAGCTATTTAAAGATTGTGATTTTTTTTTAAAAAAAATCAAGTAACCAATGCTAAGAAGCAACTGTGGGAAAGTGGTCCAAGTGTTGGAGGCAAATGAATAAGAATTTAGTCACATACGCCATTCTAGCCCGAGTGCCTGCTGTGGCCGGGTCTGAAGGCTGTACCCACAGACAGACAGCTTTTGTTAAAATAGGTACCTTTGAGTGGTGTGTGTGTGTGTGTGTGTGTGTGTGTGTGTGTGTGTTGTAGGGGGGGGGCAACGGGGGGTAGCCAGGGCCTTGGGATGCCTTTAGAAAGCTTGCAAGTACTCGTCATTAAACAGTGTCTTGTATGACATTAACACAAAACAGATTTGGCAGTATGGAAGGCCTGTGGAAATGACATGCTCTATCCTACAGATCGCTCTTCCGCACACTGTTAGTGAGACTAAAGCTGATGTGTACGTGGTCAGTGTGTGCCGTCATGTTACATCAGAAACAGTCTGCTCTTCTGAATGTTTTTAGGTCATCTCATTTTACTTAGAAATGGCGATTTGCTGCAGTATTCTTAAACTAATAAGTTTTGTTCTCTGAGAGTTTCATGCAGGTGTAAAGTCCTTTCCTCCCCTCCCCCCCTCTTGCTTCCCTCCCAGCCCTGCCAGTCCTCATTCCTCTTGGCGGGCATCTTTCCCATATTCATTTGTTTTGCTTTAGTGTCCTGCTGAGTTTACTAGGGCCAGCTGTGTTACCCTGGGTTTGGAGCTGAGCATCGCAGCCCTGTGGGCTCACCAGTGTGTAAACAACTGGTTATTATGCCTTCCTGTCTCCCAGAATCCGGTAGCTGCCAGCAGTTCAGCAGCAAGACCCCACGAGTCCTTTCTCTTTCCATAGCAGACTTCCACACAGACGGCCACTGCCGTGTCAGGCTTGTGAGGTGACATTTCTTAGCCTTCTCCTCACCTTCCAGCTCTCACGTTCTTTCTGTTCCCCCTTCCACAATGTTCTTGAACTTCATCGAGGTGGTGTGTTTGTTTCTACCGACAAATAGTGCATATCTCTATGTGGAAATCAAGTCTTTTGATCAAAACTTGGCAATAAAAGAAAAAATTCTCTTCTGAACTTTGTAATTCTTATGGAGCAGAGATCAGCTAAAGTCACTTAATCTAGTTTCATGTTTTCAGACATACAAGGAAAACAAATCTGATCTTTCAGATCATAAAGGTCAGAGGCAAACTGGCCACATTCCTCCAGGAACCCCCCAGGGGACAGGCTGTTTCCAGGCCCTAGCAGCATGGCCCCGTCTAGGGCTAAGAGGATAGAAACCAGAGATCCCTCGTGCCAACTGCTCTAAAACAGACGGTTAATCCCACTAACTGTTTGTCCCGAGTCCCCCTCGTGCGGCAAACTCGAGACAGTGATTTCATGCCAATGTAGTTTGGGATGCAGGAAAAGACGTACACTGCTTTTGCTGACTCGGGGATTTCAGCATCAGGTGTTCATCTTATAAACGTGGTCAGTTAATGAGGTGATGTTTGAGATTTAGACATCTGTAATTTGGCTTGGTTAGGGGTGGGTGGGGGAGGGAAAGGACAGGAGGATAAGTGGGGGTCAGGGAGAAAATGTACGAGAGCTCAGCCCGGCTGGGATCCTGGTGGGACAAGTCAATGAAAACTGACCCATGAGGCCCTTGGGGACGGTCATTGGCCACTCCTGAAAGTGGCACGTACATTTCCTCATCTCCCCTTTCCCTGTACATACAGGCAGCACATTGAGTCTTCATCCTTTAGAGGTCCCTGCTCATTTTAACTACTGCTGCCTTTAAACACAGCCGATGGGCTCATGGCATTCTGGAATAATTCATCTTGTTTCATTTCTTTCATATTTACAAAGAAATGCTAATTCATTTTGTGTTTATTTCACAGGGTGTTTTCCTTTCAAATAAGTATTTCTTCATGTATAGACATATCTCAATTTTTAAAATTTGTTTTGGGGTTTATTAGGGTCATTCTAGACAATTCTTTTTTGCTGGAAACTTCTGTTCTTTGTGGGAAAAGACAATATCTTTCCTTCTCCACGAAACAATATCTTTTAATTAGGAACTGAATCGTAGTAATAACTTCCTCCACTTTCCGCATCCACTCCCCCCCCCCCTTCAGTTAGCCAAGGTGTTCGTTCATTCTGATGGAGCTGTTAAATGATAGCCTTGTCCTAGCCTGTAGGGCTGGGACTAAGAACTGCTGATACTGGAAACTTTAGCGACATAATTGACTATGAAAATGATGTGATAATGCCTCAGGGTTGTAAGCTGGGTAAGAAGATCTGAGCACTTCCGAAGTAGGCGTGGTTACTGTTCTGATATTATAGTTGGGAGAACATTGAGCTAGAGGGACAGTAAATGACCTGAAGGCTACAAAGCCAATGTAAGTGGCTGATGGTTAGGTTTCGAATCCAGTGTCCTGGACCCAGAGCTGACTCTCTGCCAAGAGCACTGCGTTTGAGAGTGACTCCTGATCCCTGGGTATTGCTCACGTCTGAGGAGACTGAGAGCCATGTGAGATTGCTTTTGCAGCCATGCCTGCCATGCGGCCGGCACCCACGCATTAGCCATTGCTGCTCTCTGCATAGCCCTTCTTTCTCTTTCTTTCTCTGTTCATCCTGATTTGTAGAGATGGAAAGACCAAGCAACAGTATCAGACTAGGAAAAAACTAAGTAATTCAGCTTTAAAAGAAAATACATTATTTTATGTGCATTGGTCTGAAGGTGACAGATCTCCTGGAGTTGGAGTCCCATGTGAGCTGTACCTTCCCACTAAGATGGCTCTCAGGAGCAGAGACCTTGACTTCAAAGCCATCTCTGGCAATTGATCTCATTCTCTGTTTTAAGAGGTTTTTGTTTTGTTTTGTTTTTGAATTTTGAAATACTACAGAATAGTATTCAGATTTAGCCCAGTGATTTTTTTTTCCACAAAATAAGTCTTATTATAAACAGGTCCTTGTCTTTTCCTATATATATTGTCTGAGGCATATTTAATATGTATTAGCTTGTGTGCTGGTGAGAAAACCCAGCCACCTGGCTGCTAGGGGAAATAAAACTTCTTATGTGACTGTAGGAACAGTAGCTAGATTTGTCTGGGACTTTAAAAAACTCAGACTTTACCCACTGTTACTTCATTTTGTTATTATTGTTAAACTGTGTCTGAATCCCACAGACAATCCATTCATCATACTTGGCCATTACTCACCTTCCATGGCCAGAGTCTAGTAGCTTCTCCTGAAGTGGGTGTTCCGGTGAAGGGTGCTTTCGTGGGGGGGACAGAAACTGGCATGTGTTAGCTTAGTGCAAAGGGAAAAGCTTTGCACAAATATAACAACGGTGTTGTAAACCAAGGAGTGCGGGAGAGGCAAGCCCAGACCCATCCCACTCAAACCAGCCCAACTCCTCGAAAAGCAAAAAGCTTTGGAAATTGAGGTAGCACCTGGCCAACTAGGCAATACGAAAGTGCGCCCCCTCCTACCCAGGTGTACCTGCATGACCGACCAGACCCTCTCTCCCTCCTAACCCTGTCCACGCTTCCCTTTCTCTTTTCTTGGCAAACAGGCTTCCTCTGAGTTCTAACGGCTCTTTCACGATCTGGCAATTCCTCCACAGCCTTTAAGTTGGTATGGTTCCCAGCTCAGAGATCCGCGTCCTGTGGGATTTGAGGATCTGTCTGTGGTGGAGTTCCCACATTCCATTCAGTGCTGACAGTCTGCAGATTGGCAGGGGTTAGAAGGGTTGAGGGTGCTCCCCCATGTGTCACAGGTGTTTCGTGGGTGTTGGCTCTTCCCGGCTCTTTCTTTTAGAAGAGCCCAAGGAAATCCATGGGATGGTTCAAGTTATGTTGTACAAGAATTTACGATTGTTTTCATTACTCTGTGCCCTACAATAGGGAAATAGTGGACTGGAAAAGATGAAGTAGAAGAGAACTGGTGACTTCCTCCAGGGTATTCATGCCTTGGGTGCGGTCACAGCACACGCCCCTCTGTCGGTTGGAGAACTTCCTGTGTGACAGACGGCACGACGGTGTCCCAGTTCTCTCTGTTCCAGAGTGTGCATTCTGTACATCCAGACCATGCTGTATGTAAGATAGTATATGTCAAGCTAGACTCGATAGCACATAACACGTTGCCATCTGTAACAACAGTCTTAGTCATAAACTCACAAACTCTTTTGAATGTCATTAAGGATTAATATTTGAACTGTTCACTTTATCAAAAGGAAAGATTACTTAACAGTTTGAACCAAAACAAAAGTTTTTTTTTAAAAAAAATTCTTTAGAAGCCCCAAAATGAAGATATTTTCGGCTAGTGAGCTATTGTCTAGGGAAGGTAGCTCAGAGCAGGCTCAAAAGCTTTGCAGTAGACTGTACTGTTATGGGGTAGAAGTTGAACCCCAGAATACAGAGGGCTGAATGGTACTTGAACGATCTTCGGGGAAGTCTTGAGACCAAGTGTAAGCCTCTCTTAGTGAAGAATTGATGCTGCTACTGCTAAGGAGTGCTTTGAATTTGTGATTGCTTAGTTACCAAATGGGTGATAGATTTAGAAACTGGCCTGTTTCAGCACTGAAATAGATACCTGGAGAAAGATGGCCACTGTGGCCCTTCAGGGTTGTGTATGTGTGCGTGTGCGTGTACGTGTATGTGTGTGTGTACACTTCATTTTTGAGGGGAGGTGGTGAACCTTGAATCGGGACTCCTGAAGATCCACGTTCCATTCTCAGTTTCTGCTGTTCCTTGGGTTACGATTTGGCTTCTGAGCCTTGAGCCTTCTAGATCCGGGTAAACGCACTTGACGGTTTTCACAGCGCCAGGAGAGGACATACTTGTCTATTAGCGCTGATATGATTTGGTTGGTATTGACTTGTGAATGGAAGTAAATTCTTTTGGCATAGCTTTGATGTCACCCTCTCACTTCAAAAAGTAGACGATTGTTCACAGTGCCTAAAGAATGAGCTATCAGAAGCTCCGCTAATCAGAAAGTGGGGCAGCTTCTGTGCTGGATCACTGCATACTAACTTGTTTCTGTCTTCCTTTAATGCTGCCTCTCAGTATACGCTCCATTCAGCATTCGATTAGCATGCCTGCTATGAGGTAACGTATGTCCTTACAAGATGCTTCCTGCCCGATGTATGGATACTCAAACCACTGACTAGGGAACTAGAATTATGTCTCCTAACAACCTGTGCATTAACACTGTTACAATCTGCAGTTGCTTTTCTTACAATGTTGGGATAGATTCATGAGATCCAAAACATGATTTTCTTTTTTAAGAATTACTATTTCAATTACTATAAAATCTCTATTTGAAACCAGTTGAATTGGAAAGCACATGCCAGTGTAGAATGAAGCTGTCTTAGTGGTTCAGGGTTATTTTGTTCCTTCTCTGTGAGCTTTGGTTCAACCCCTCCCTAGCTTCCAGCCTCCCACTCTGCTTTGCTCATCCTAGAGTGGCCTTTGGAGCCAGCTTTCCTCAGCGGGCACTGGTAATCAGCCCTCATTTAGTCCGCCTGGGGAGCAGAGGCTCCGGAACAGTAGAGATCCCTGGCTTGCACTTTAGTCTGTACAGGAAGCACCTGGAGGAGTAGCTACACTGTTGCACGCTGGAACCACCCCTAGAGTCTCTGAATCTAGAGTAGGTGTTGGGCTGAGAGTTCATTTTCCTAGTGTGTTCTTGGGAGCTGCTAATACAGTTGGCCTGGGGTGGGGGAGGTGGGGTGTCACATGTAACAACCACTGGCTTTGGTCCCCTCTGTGCCCTTCTAATGTTGTAACAGGGTTGGTAGTTAAGGTTCTATGTAGGAACCCATGGGTGAGAGACAAAAGCCTAATGTGTAGAGGAGAGATACGTTTCTGAGCTCTCTGCTTTCTTTGGGTCCCTTCTCTGTCTGACACAATTCTTTTGGAATTAGGGTCCCTGTAATGGAATCTCAGTTTGTCTCGATGGTGTAGTGTGTTGTGTGCTCTTGTGGGAATCTTAGCCCACAGGATGAGGCACTAAATCAGAGTTCTAAAGTATCCTGCTAAGTTCAGGGGATCTCACAGTGGCATTTTCTTGGTTCTGGTGAGTCTTTAGGAAGGTGACAGAGCTGGTGTTGTCTGCCTTCTTCCTTTTGTTTATATGACAGTATCACTTATATCTCAGAGTGACAGTCTTCATGACCTTAAAAGCAGATGTAGAAGTATTAGCCCAGAAGCTGGTTCACACAGGAAGTGTATGTGTCGATACCTATGCACATATATGCAGATAAATACCCACTCTTGCTAATTATGAATATCAGCAAAGAGAAATGCAGTCGTTTCTGATCCTTCAGAGACTTTTGTATTTTTCACAGTGGTTGTAATTTTATTTTTTTCTATCTTCATAGAAACTCCCCAACTTTCAAGTCATTTGAAGAAAAGGTTGAAAACTTAAAGGTAAGTACAGGGGTGCGCTGTCTTCATGACACTGTTGCCACCTTCCGTCATTCCCATAAAGCTTTAGAGAACTTTAAGAATTCTACCCTGTGCGTCACTAATACACACTGCATGATTTTGTAGGTTTTTTTCTTTTTCTTGTGATTTTTTTTTTGATAACATAAAACTGCAATTTTTCAGACATTTGTTTATTTCAAATATTCTTATAATTGAACAAGAATTTGTGCTGTTTTTCATCTAAAAATCACACAATATTAGACTTAATATAAATATTAGTATTTTAATATTGATAATAGGTATTAAAATATGAAAAATTAGTCACTGTCTTTTCTATTTAAGGGTATTTTCTTATTGTTTAGCAATTTCACACATTTATAAAGTGTATCTTGTTCATATCTGTCTCCTTTGATTTCCCATTGGAGGTACACATTCTTCCATAATGAGTAGCTTTATAAATTGTGTTATTTCCAAATTATGGCGAAGTCATCAATCCTGAGGATTGGGCAAAGTGGCTCATGCATTTAATCTCTGCACTTGGAGGCCGAGGCAAGAGCATTGCCTAGAGTTTGATGCTATCTTGGGCTACGGAGTGATACCCTGTCACAAAAACACCAAAACAGAAAACAAGCAAACCAGTCCAAAAGATTCTGTGAACTCTGAGTCACAAATGGTCCCATGTGTGCCTAGTGAAACTCCTGATGCTCTGTTTCAGTGTTTGTGTGCAGCCTGGGTGGCGGTCCTTTATCCAGACCTCTTCACTGCACTGGATATAGTTTGGAGCTGACATCTTATTATTTTAAATAAGCGAGACTTGCCTGGCAGTCTCATTTATGTAAATGGTACACAGCTGGAATTTTAGCACTTGAGAAATAGAAAAGGAGGGCTGTGAGTTCAAGACCATCCTTGGCTACAGAGAGACCTTATTCAAGAACATAAGTTAAAAAGAACTCATATTTATTTTAGTCATTCAGAACACCAGAAGAATCACTTATTCTTAAAAGTATCTTACATAGCCAGGTATCTTACTCAGAACACACTTCTGAGTTCAAGGCCTAGCCTGGTCTACAGTACTAGTTCCAGCACAGCCAAGACTGTTAGACAGTGAAATGCTGTCTTAAAAAGAAACAAAAACAAAATATAACAACAACAAAAAGAAAACAAAAAGAAAAAAAGTTTCTTACATGAAAAGGCGGAATTTGCTTACTGAAAGATCAGACACTGCAGTGATCTGGATTTTAGCTTGGACCTCTTCTTTGTAGAATCTCACTGTACACACAGTCTTACAGTTTCATGTTTGTGAACCCACGATTGCAGGGATCCTTCATTTTGTTCAATAATACTGCTTAGGGGCCTCCATAGTCCTTGGCTTGTACCATGGTGTGTACTGGATGAATACAAACATACATCACACTCATGTTTCCAGATTGGTACATGAGACTGGCTGTCTTCATCTGCAAAAAGGCTGCATTGCGAGGAGTCACGGTTTGCTGTGACTCAGTTCTCAAGCCTGTTGGACTCTCCCTGCCTTTCCTTCACATCTGTCTTCTTAGTTTTTGAAATAGCTCGTCAGAAATCAGCAATTTGATTTGATCCCAGAGATGAGGAAGTACTGCCCAGTCACTTGCTATATTAACTATTGTTGCTATAGATTCCAGCCAGTATAGTTCATTGGTCATAATCCGACTTAGCATCATTCGGATGATGTCTTCTTAGTCATGAAACATGATGTCTTAGTGATGAAACACCATAACCAAAAGCAAGTTGGGAAGAAAAGGAACTTAAACATAGCTTGCTCCCCATGATGTGCTCAGCCTGCCGCCTTATAGAACCCAAGACCACCAGCCCAGGGGTGACCACACTCACAATGGACGGGGCCCTCCCCCATCACCTACTAATTAAGAAGATCCTATATGGGCTTGCCTATAACCTGGTCTCATGGAGACGTTTTCTCAGTCGAGATTTCCTCCTCTCATGTGACTATAGTTTGTGTCAAGTTGACATCACTGTACAGCACAGATGAAAACATAAAAAGTAACTTTTTTTTTTTTCCGAGACAGGGTTTCTCTGTGGTTTTTGGAGCCTGTCCTGGAACTAGCTCTTGTAGACCAGGCTGGTCTCGAACTCACAGAGATCCACCTGCCTCTGCCTCCCGAGTGCTGGGATTAAAGGCGTGCGCCAAAGTAACTTTTCAAAGTATATCAAATAGTTATTGCTAAAGAAATCTGTAGTCATATGCTTAGGATAATTTTGCCAAATTATACATACAGTCATTTAAGCTTTGAATCAACATGTCTGTGCACTGCAGTTTTGGATGGGTTCAGTTTCCTGTAGTTTTAGGTATGTGGGTGGCTATGACAGGGACAGCTGAGGGTACCATGCAGACCTGGAGGAAGAGCAGCTGAGAGGCAGTAGTTGTGATCTCGGTAAGGAGGACAGTGAAGGATTCAGGGGTTCTAATGGGACAAAGCACAGAAGGGAGACAGGAGTGAGCGGTACGCTGTGTACCGCAGGCTGGCTCACGCACAACTCATGTGCTGGAGTAGGCAGTATGCTGTGCACCACAGGCTGGCTCGTGCACAGCTCACGTGCAGGAGTGGGCGGTATGCTGTGCACCGAAGGCTGGCTCGTGCACAGCTCACATGCTGGAGTGGGCGGTATGCTGTGCACCGAAGGCTGGCTCGTGCTCATGTGCTGGAGTAGGCGGTATGCTGTGCACAGCAGGCTGGCTCACGCACAGTTCACGTGCTGGAGTAAGCCGTATGCTGTGCACCGCAGGCTGGCTCATGCACAGCTCATGTGCTGGAGTAAGCCGTATGCTGTGCACCACAGGCTGGCTTGTGCACAGCTCATGTGCTGGAGTAAGCGGTATGCTGTGCACTGCAGGCTGGCTTGTGCACAGCTCATGTGCTGGAGTAAGCGGTATGCTGTGCACTGCAGGCTGGCTTGTGCACAGCTCATGTGCTGGGCCAGTCAGCTTTGGAGGTGCTCCTGCTGAACATTTTTTTTACATCTTTAAATTTAATAGTAAGATACATAATATTTTAATTACTTTTACTTAGAATTTTATGGAGCAAGCAGTGAAGCGAAACAATATAAAGGTTATTTTCTTGGAGGGTTTCATTGGCTCGTCTGAAGAGGAAAGATGAATGGAAGAGGGGCCCACTGTGAAGAGTTCCTTTACTTGTGCTAAATTGCCAGAAGTTGTAACAATTTTTATAGTTAAAGACATTTTGGTGAATTTAGTAATGCATATAAGTTATGCAGATTTATCTAAGTCAAAGCTTGGATGGCAGAAAACTTTCAGTTAGATTCCAGTTCTCAGACTTGCCCAGTGAGTTAAGACTGGGGAAACCGGAAGTTCAAGTTGAATCCACTGAGCAATGCATTCTTGGTCACTGCTGGTTCCTCATGTAGCTCAGTCATTACATGTAACAGGCAGCGAGCACTGAGAGGCATGAAGTGACATACTAGTAACAGATAGATAGATTGGTCCTGAGACAGTTGGTTCCTGCATCACAGGAACTTACAGTATAGCCCAGGCTAGAGACCAGACTTACAGCAGACCTCCTGCCTTAGTCTCCCGAGTGTTGATATTATAGGCTGAGCCACCACACCCATCTAGGCGTTTTGAAAAAAAAAAAAAAATCAGGCATATGTAGCATTCAAACTGATACTGATTGACAGTTTCAGGCCTGGGAGGTTGGAGTAGGGCGTCACAAATTTCTAGTGTACAAGAAGTCGCTCGGGGTCCCTCTGGCATTACGATTCCAGTTCTGACACTCCGTGTCTGACGAGCCCCCAGATGATGCTGAGTCTGTAGGCAGACTTATGTAGGAAAGGGCTGAGAACCCTACAGTGCACCAGGAAAGATACTTTTATCTTCCGTTTGTTGTGTCTCACGGTTAAGCTACCCCGAGTGGTACATCAGCACGTAGATCCACACGGACATAGTCGTGAGAGGCCCAGTTTGCTACTGAAAGTCAGGTTAGAGTTTCTTTCTGCAGAGGTGATTAATTTTGCTTCATGATGTCTTCTCTTTTCCCCACTTTTAAAGTCTAAAGTAGGGGGAGCCAAGCCTGCTGGCGGTGATTTTGGAGAGGTCCTGAATTCCACGGCGAATGCTACTAGTGCCGAGGCCACCGAGCCCCCTCCAGCGCAGACAGAGGCCCTGCCCTAAGTTCCGGAACATATCCTGCTGCCCACTGCCAGGTGCTGCAAGGGACATCAAGCACATCTCGTCAGCGTTCATGGCCACAGATTTCCACCAGATGTGCTTTCATTTAGCTTTACTTATTTCTTTGACCAAATAGTTTGCGAATGAAACGAAGTGGGAACACCCTCGCCTCCACACCAGGGAAACGCCCTTTGTAGGAGACGGCAGCCAGAGCCTCTGGTAGTCCTTGAGGCACACAGGGGTGACAGGAAGCTGTGGGCCACCTCAGCTTTGGCTTTACAGAATCACTCCACATCTGGTATTCTTTTAGATCCTTTTCTATACGAGTCATTTTTCCTTTTTGAGTCTGTTATACTTGATTTCTAACTAAAATGGTTCTTCTAAATTCTGGTAGTTAAAAGTTTTGGAATTATTTTGTTACTTTTAAAGGAGAAACCACCAGCTACAATTCTTTTTTTCTTGGATAAACAGTTTTTGTATGTGGACCATATCTTGGGTTTCTGAGCACACCAGACTAAAGCAAACAGGTGTGTGTGTACTTGAGTAGTTCTGTAAGTTAAAACCATGCAGAAACTCAGTCTGCCAGTGGTGTGAGTGTGGGGTTCCCCCATGTCCTTGGTGATTAGCAGCTACCATTTCAACATCCTGATTATTTATTATGCCACTCTTACACATTTTTATAAGATTAAAATTTAATTTCAGGTAAACGGACAAAATCTATCATTGTGAGTCAAGCATATATTACTATAAGTTGAAATGTGACCACACTTGTCTAAAACGTCTTTAGGTCTAGATAGCTGTAAAAATGCTAAAATCCATCACCGCAGGGAAACTTGCTGCCTCCATTAAATCCATTTAGCACCCATTAGGAAGCACAGAAAGTTCTATGAGAAGTACGACTTGAATATTTTTATACTAAGGTATTGTTGACTCCGAAGGATGTAAGGCATTAATACAAATGAGCTCATCACGTACGTGTTCTCAGTGCGTCAGTGATGCAGAGTGTACTGTAGATACGGCCCCTGCTCGGAGAGGTCGTGGGGCTTGTGATCAAGGCTTCCAGATGTCTCTGAGCTCCTCCCGTAACTGTGGTTAACTACTGACTCACTACCATTTCCTTCTGCTGTCTATGTTCATGGCTACGAGGTCTGTCTGGTATTTATCTATTGTGATTTTATCACTGTCCACGCCAAATGTTAATTGCCAAGCTTGGAGTGACCTAAAGCATTTTCAAAAGCATGACTAGATTTAATTGAGGATAAAGTTTCTGCAGACCAAATTTGAAAAGCCACAAGTGTCAGTCGTTACAAAATGACGTGCTGCCATTGTTGATTGCTACTTGGATGCTCTATTGTATGTGACAAATCTCAATAAAGTCTGTGTATCAGTAGTCTAGGTTTCGATTTATTAAGAGGTCAATGGTCTGGATAAAATTTGTATTCCAAAATCAACTGGTATCCTGGAAACTTGTCTCTTTAGAGAAATATTGTGATTTTTCAGTATAACCACTTTTTTCCCCCCAATCCAACATCTTTTCAACAGATTACTTCCTGGGTGTCTTACCCACTGTTTTTGTAACCAGGCAAAAATAGAGTAATATGGCAGCTTTCTTCATAAGAAATACTCAGATTTCATAAAGAGATTTCTCACATGAGGAAACAACAGTGGTGGGTAAGTACGATATAGATAAACTTGGGGAATCAGTATGAAAGAAAAAATTAGAGAAACATATTTCTGGACATCTTCCTACACTTAGCCTAAAAAGTTTATCTACTGTAAGAACCCTGCCTCATGTGAAAACATCATGACAATGATTAAGGACTAACACAGAGGAAACCCTGTCTCGAAAAACAAAACAAAACAAAAAAAGAAAATTAAACACTAATTTTTAGAATATTCAGAAATATTCAAAATATTTGTGGGAAATTCATTATGAATTCACAGATACTTCAGAAATTTGAAATATAGCAACTAATAGAAATATTCCTAAGAGGTCAGGACCACTTTACTGGGATTTGTGTTTTTTAGGGTAAGAAAATAGCAAAAGAGAAACCTCAAATATTTGTGAAATCTTGGCTATTTAAGGCCATACCTGTAATGGGAGAGAAGATCTCTGAGGCCTTCCACATGCGGTTTCCCTAACGCACAGGGTCTGTGGTAAATCTAGCCGGAATTCTTATGGTTTAGAACCTCACGAAATTAATGGGAAGACAGAACTCATTAACTGGATTATGGTTTTAGCAACTCAAAGCAATTATTGGAATGCAGAAAAGTGTTTAATTTGAACTATTTCTGGATCTTTTAAAGTATACACTATTTTCTGTGAAGAGTTTGAAAGCAATAAAGACTGTAATTTGGGTATGGGTTCTTTTATGTATTTCCCACTCTCAGAAAGGGGCTAAGTCATAGATGGCATCCAGCATGCATGCTGACATGTGCACCCCCACACAGATGAACACATGCGTGCTGACATGTGCACCCCCACACAGATGAACACACATTAAAACCCCTTCAATTCCACATACTTTAGTTTTCATTCACATCTCGGCTTGCTTTTCAATATGACTAATTTTTAATACCCCAATCCCAGAATGCTCTCCTCCACGGTGCTGAATGTCTTTAGTGTGATAGCATATCTTACACATGCCTGGATCTTTCTTTCAGACTTTTCTGAGCAGTTAAGCATATTTTCTCTTTTATTTTTTTAATTTATTTTTTAAAACTATCTTTTTTTCATTTTACATACCAATCCCAGTTCCCGCTCCCTCCCCTCCTTCCATCCCCTCCACCTTCTGCCCCATCCCGCATCCCATCTCCTCTTCAGGGTAAGGCTTCCCATGGGGCTTAACAAAGTTTAGCACGTTGCTTTGAGGCACTGCAAGGCACCCCTCCAAAGAGAATGGGTTCCAAAAATCCAGTACAAGCAGTAGGGATAAATCCGGGTCTCACTGCCAGTGGCCCCACAGTCTGCCCCAGCCATATAACTGTCCACCCCCCTCCTTTATTTTTATGTGGTGCTGGGGATTGAACCAGGGCTTGCCTAAGATTGTAGAGTGAGTGATCTGTTATTGAGCTACACCCCAACCCAAGAGGCATAAATTTCTAATCACCTCTAAGTCACCTCCACCGAAGCACTATTAGCTACTTTTTATGGAGGTTTTAGTGAGCACTGCCTTTCACACTGGTGGTCTTGGGCATGAGGTGGGGTATATGTAATATGTAATGGTAGATGAGGCCACAGCCAGATGTGATGGGGCTGTGGAGTGTGTTTATTCCTTTTTTTTTTTTTTTGCTACCTTCTCGGAACACTTGCACAGTGCACATGAAGAACTTTGGAAGTGTAATGGGGTGGGGGTGGGGGCGATGCAGGGAGTGACAGTGGTCCCGGCAGTAGGTGCTCCTGTTGGTGCTGTGTCGGCAAGAATCCTGGAGATGTCCCTCCACTGACTCACTTGGTTTTGTCTTTCGGGGTCTCATACGGCTCAGGCTGGCTTCAGTCTTGGCTATGTAGCCAAGGATGTCCTGCCTCAATCTACCAGGTACAGGATCACATGCACACCCCTACCAGTTTGTTTTGGGAACAGGGTCTCACTACTCAGCTCAGGTTGAGCCCCAGCTCAACATTCTCATCTCCTCACTACTTCAGTTTTAAAAACAAATTGTTGAGGGTTGCATATATTTTAATTATATCTACTCCTAACGCTTCCCCTCAACTCCCATATCTGCTTCAACATCCCTACCCCCAACTTCATGTCTTTTTTCTAATTTTAATTTAATCCCCATTGATTCCACTTTGTGCTGTGTAGTCAGCCTACCAGGAGCCACACCCTAAAAAACAACCTGATTCTCCTCCCCGAGAAGCTAGCAACTGCCCATAGCTCCTGAGTTAGAGCTGGGCCAAAGGACCCCTTTCCCCGTTTAGAAAGCTAGGGTCTTGTGCAGGCCCCGCTTGGGCAGTCGTAGCTGCTGTTTCAGTGCAGCGATCCTGTCATGTCAAGAAAGCCTTGTGCTTTCTTGGGTCTCACAGTCTTTTTACCAGGTTTTACAAGATGGTCCCTGAGCCTGGGGGGGTGGAATAGGGATGCAGATGTCCCACTGTGGCTGAGCACGCCAGAGGTACTGGGAAACTTCTGATGGTCTGAGAATTGCAGGAGTCTGCGATTAGGAGGAATTTAGAGGGCACTTTGATGCTATGTCCACGCAGCAAAACGACTGTAACATTCACGCTACCGCTGCACGCATGCACGGGCATAGTCTGCCATGCTGGTAGCTACTGGATTTTACAGCTGACTGAACTGATGATTGCCCTTCAGCAGTGTGCAGAGCACCTTCTAGTGCATGGAGCATTACCTGGTTTCTCATGTTCTGTGAATATGGGCAGTGTCTTCAGCAATAGTTTTACTATGAGGTTCTCATGATGGGACTTGGCTTTTTCTCGACAACCCATGGCTTATCCATGAGCACAAGCCACTGTGTAGAGAAATTCCAGTTAAAACTTGTATATGGGGCTGGAGAGATGGCTCAGTGGTTAAGAGCACTGACTGTTTTTCCAGAGGACCTGAGTTCAATCCCCAGCAACCACATGGTGGCTCACAAACATCTGTAATGAGATCTGGTGCCTTCTGGCCTGCAGGCATACAGACAGAATATTGTATACAGAATAAATAAATAAAGTCTTTTAAAAAAAATAAAAATAAAAGTACTTAAAAAAACTTGTATATGAATCCCCACTTTTCTAATCCGCCATTTGATGCTTCAAGTAAAAAGAAAACTTTAAGGTCTATCCTACTTCTACTGAGTGCAAACAGCCCACCATCAGGAAGAATGAGCAGCTGCTGTAGTTGTCCCCCCAACAGCTCTGCTAGTCTTCCGGGGTTATCCTCTAGGTGAGGCAGGACATGAATATGACGTTACTCATTAAAGATGGGACCTTAGTACCTCATTTGTTCTGTCCTGTGGGTTTCATACTGAAGACCATCTGGAGCCTTGACATGCCAGGCAAGCGCTGGTAAGATTTTAGTTTATAAAGCAGTTCTTTAAACTTGGCTCTGGTTATCAGTTTGCTGCACTGTAACACAATTCATAAAATCCCAGAGACAGATATTGAGGTTCAACCTGAAAGTCAATAAAGCAAAACAGCCAGCCATTGGCTCTTATCTCTGCTTCAGTCCTAAATTGCGATTCTGCCTCCAGGAATCTCAGAATGAGGCTGTGTCTGAGAGCTCGTCCCTTCTTAAATTCCTCTCTAGGGCTAGGATTAAAAGCATGCACCACTACGGCCTGGTTTCTGTGGCAAAGTAGTGTGGCTACTGGGATTAAAGGTGTGTCACCACTGCCTGGTCTCTAAGACTGACCAGGGTGGCTGTTTTACCCTGTGATCTTCAGGCAAGCTTTATTTATTAAAGTACAAATGAGATATCACTACACTCTCCTACACAGGGAAATCAAATCAGCAACATGACAGTGCATTGCCCAAGACAAAGGTTACTCAGGACTACGAAGGGCTCTTAACTGTCACTGGCCGTGCTCTACAACTTGCCACACTGTTTTTGGAAGGGACTGGAAGTAACAATAGCCATAGAGAATGGCATTTTAGACAAGAATCCACACAGCTGTCAGCCGAATTGAGTTTAAATGTGTAGAGTGAGACCCCACCTGGATAGAGTCCCTTTCCAGCACTGACTGACTTCTTAGGAGTCTCCCTACAGAGGCTACTAATGGTGAGGCTTAAGTGGCTCAAAATTATGCAGCATCCCAAGGACTATTACACCCATGACATGGAGTAAGATTTAAATTCACAGTCAAAAGTAGTAGAAAAGGGTCTGTCCTGGTGGTTACAGTGCTTGTGAAATCTCACCAGAGAGAAGCAGCAGGTTCATGTGTTTAACGTCAGCTTCCACTACATAGTGAGCTCAGGACCGGTCTGGGATACATGAGACCTTGAGTCCAAAAGAAAAGTTTTTGTTAGCAAACTACATAGAAAACTGTGGCACATGTCCCAGATTTAGTAATTTGTAGGCTAATATCAAACTGATTCTTAGATGAGAACACCCACTTAATTGGCAAACACATTGTCAGGCGGTGGACAAATTCTGGGGATTTATGCCGAAGAGAAACAAACAAAAAATATAAAGTATTTGTGTGCGGTTATGTAAGTGCTATACCTGGGCACATTCTGAAACTTAACTCACGAGAAGGGATGGTAGGTATCTCGGATAAAACTTCTCAGATTGTTTTGTAGTGCGGGTTACTGACGACAGAAGTGCCCAACGACAGACCTGCCACCAGTTTCACAAACAACTTTATGTCCATTTGCAAAGGCAATCTCCTTCCTGGAGCTTACAAAATTGGAGGGCGGCTACTAAACATCTTAGTCTCAAGCATGACAAATTCAAAAGTGCTGGACAGGAGGCGCGGACGAGCTTGGGGCTTCCGACTCCAAGAAGATAATCAAGGAGACCGCTGAAGACCGCATCCCCTGCAAGGCACACGCCTTCTCCGTGCTGCCTTGCCTTCAGGACACAAGCCACACAAGCCACACGCCCACACCACACTACGGCAGTAGGTGGGGCTCTCCTCAACCCGCCCCCTGGCCCGCGAACGTGCGTAAGAGGCCAGAGGTGAGAGGTCACGCAGGCGTCATGGCGGCGCTGTGTGGGTACCATGCCAGGGCTGCAGGGAGCCGATTCCTAAGAGCGCTTCTCTTCTCCAAGCCCTTTCGAAATGCAAGCACGGAGAGTGGTTCCGAGAGCATGGTCGGCGACTCCTCCGCTCCTCTGGCGCGCTCAGGCGGCTTCGCGAGCGCTCTCGAGCGACTCTCGGAGCTGCAGCGGAAGGCGGAGCACGGACCGGTGAGTGGGCCTCGCGGCGCACGTCCCGACGCGGGGTCAGCGTGAGGTGGGGCTAGCACGGGGCGGGCTAGCATGGGGGCGGGGCCATCAGGGAGGGGCCGCACAGAGGGCGGGGCCATCGTGGGGTCCGGCTAGCATGGGGGCGGGCGGGATGCTCCCCATCCCCCCATTCTGGTGAAGCTGTGCCAGTGACTCAGGGAAGGAGTCCCGGTGTAGCTTCCGCCCCTTGGCCTCCCGCAGCGGAGCACGTGATTTAAGTTTTCATTCACTTCCGAGTTCTTTACCCTGGCATTTACTGCTGGGTGGGCTCGCTCCGCGCACTCTCGCGCGTCATCCTGGGCGAGCTAGCGGGTGGGGCCCATGAGGCGACCCCTGCGACCCGCGGGGAAAGGGCTCCAGGGCTGTCATAAACATATCCTAGCTGAATGGATAGGGGATTGACAGTGAATGGCAGTTATTGCTGCTGTGAGCTGAGTGTGTGATTTGGGCCGTCAGTGTTTCACTTTCACTTTCCAAAAATGCCCTCTTTAAAATTTTTTTTTTCCATTTGTATGAAATGGAAGTGTAAGATGGAAAGGTGAACCCTTGTAAAATAGAATAAAACGTTTAGATACACGAAGTAGTGGAAATAGGCATAAGGACAAGGCTGGGATATTTTAAAAAATAATTAGATTTGGTTACGGAACATTACACATGTGGACATTTCTCCGGATCAAGGGATCATTTTAGTATCAAAGCTTTTCTTTGATCCAACGATGGGAAGGACTCTAGGACATAGTTTTGTGATTTTTGTCACATATAGTGACTAAAACACAAATTTTTACTTACAGGACAGTAGTGGTTCTTTTTTAAAAAAAATAGTAAGATAAAATAAAAGATAAAAAGATAAAACAAGAACTAAAACCATTGGAATTTGACAAAGCAAACAGAAGGAACAGCCCAAGAAACAGATCCACTTGTTCCATCACCACCGAAAGAGTAAATCAGAAGCCATAATATATATGTAGAGGGTCTGGTGCAGGCATGCGCAAGCCGGTCCTGCTGCTTCCGGCTCTGAATTCCTAGGAGCTTCGCTCATGTCAGCACAGAGGGCCTGTTTCTCCTGGTGTCCTCTGGTCCAGACACTGTTTCTACCTCTTCCTCCCTGGCTTCACCCCGAAGGGAGGCATAGAGACTTCCTGTTGAAGGGTAGAGTGTTTCTAGGTCTCACTCTCTGCAGTTGTTTGCCCGTGGGTCGGCTGCAGGGGAAGGAAGATCAGAGATTGGCTGGTTACTCCCACAAGCTCTTTGCCACCTCAGCTCTTAACATATCCTGCAGGCAGGACACCATTTTAGATCAAGGGTTTGAGGCTGGGTGCGTGTTTACTTTTCTCTTTGATACCCGCAGAGGACCTTCCTGTACCAAATATGCTAAAATGTAGCTATATAGGCACCAGCTTGACTTCTCCATGGTCTATGAGTTGTGTCGCGTTGTCTTCAGCTATGGGGCTGCCAGTTTGTGGGGAGCAACCTGTAGTCATAGCAACAGCTGGGGTAGTTTGGATTCCCATGAGACTCCTTTAGCCAGGAACTCAGTTAGATGTCACTCAGTCCTGGGACTGCAAGCTTTGTTTGGTGACAAGAAATGGCCAGTTGGGGCTCTGTCTCCCCCATTATTTGTGATGTCTATTGGATTGCCTTCATCTATGTATATATTTTAGAAAACTTCTGTTATATTGGGTTCTCCTAGCACCTCCCAAATGGCCCTTTATTTTAGCTGTCCCTCCCCAAATCCCCTCCTTCAGTCCCCTCTCTCTTCCCTCTCCCCACTAAATCTTCCTTTCCAGCTGCACCTCCCCCTGTCTGTTCCCTCTAGTTCCTTACTCTCTGCCTTTGTGGTTCTATGGATTTAGTTTGGTTATCATTGACTTAAAGCTCATGTCCACATATAAGAGAAATACATAACCATATTCCTCTTTCTGGGTCGGGGATTCCTCACCCAGGGTGATTTTTCTAATTCCATCCATTTACCTGCAGGTTTCACGTTTTAATGGTTGAGTAATACTCCATTGTGTAGATGAACCACATTTTCCACTATCTATTCTTCCGTTGAGGGACATCTGGGTTGTTTCAGATTTCTGGCTATTATGGCTAGAGCACCAGTGACCCTGGTTGAGCAAGTGTCCTTGTATGATGAAGTGTCCTTGGGTATGGCTGGATCTTGAGGTAGATTAATTCCCATCTTCATGAGGCCCTGCGCACTGATTTCCATATTGGCTATACAAGATTGCATAGTAGGAGTTCTTAAGGAGTCTGTGTCTAAGTCTTAAGGAGATATTGAAAGTTTCAATTCTTGATGTTTTGGGGAGTGACTTTCCTCGGTTTTTCTTCCTGTGGGGACACAGTGCTCTGACTTAGGAGCTGCTGCTTCCGTCTTCAAAGCTGGCAGTGATAAACTGTGTCCTCCTCATACTCCCCACCTCATAATGCCTGCAGTAACCTCCCTGTTTTAATCATATCTGTGGGTTTCATATAACCAGTAGTAGTCAGTTTAGTGGAGGAAAGATCTAGGATCTGACCATATTCCCCGTCCTTCTGAATTTGGTTCTAATTTGGGTGCTCTGTTTTTCCAGGAGGTAAAGTGTTTCCTGGCAGCCCCAGGACATTTTACATTTACATTAGCCCCAGCTTACATTTGCTCTGGCCAAGTCTGCCCAGCTCATACTGCATGGAGTCTCCAAGGACAGTTTTTCTTCATCTAACATAGCTTAGATCACATTATTTTGCTACGCAGTAAATGCATTTGATTGAGACATGTAGTTCACCAGTCTCTTGTTTACAGTTCTTGAAGTCTTGCTTTAGTGGGAAGGAAATGCCTTGGGGAGGAGGTCGTAAGGAGGCTAAGTAGCCTCCGTTTTAGTGTCTTGCCTTTGTAGCATCTAGACTAGGATACTGTAATTGAGTTGGCTCTGTGTGTAACTAGTGAGCTGGCTTTTCAGTGATGCCTTCAGAATCAAGTTGTTCTTTACATGAAATCTCATTGCTCCATTAGTGAGACGCTATTGTAACCATGGGGTTTCACCATGCAGCAAATACACACCCCGTTGAGGTTGTGGGGAATAGAGGCTATGAGGTTGGGGAGGAGTTACATGGGATATCACTGTCTCACTTCTACTGTAAGTACCGTAAAGGTGTACTAAAGTACTTCCCTGGGGTATCTCGCAGTGCTGTTGGCTAAACCCACAGTTTAAGCTGTGTACTGCAGGGCTTAAGCTCTAACACAGTTCCAACAATAGGCATTTTGTTTTGTTGTTTTGTTTGAGACGGGGTCCCTAATATCACCTGCGGCTGGCCTCAAATTTGTGAATCTCCTACCTCCTATATGTCATCATGACTGGCCTGGGTTTATATTATAATGAAATCACGAAAATGTTATTTTAAAATGTCACTTGGGGGTGGGAGGGCTTTTGTTGCCAAGCCTGCTGACCTGGAGAGAATTGATTCCTGCTAACTGTTCTCTGACTTCCACATGTGCCCTGTGGCATTCCCCTCCCCCCCAAAAATGTTGTAAAAAAAGTTATTAGGTCTCTGTTATAACTGCAGGTTGTAATGTGCAATTCAGCAAGACAGTAAACTAATTTTTTTTCACGGGAGAAATAGAAAACTCAAAACAACAAAGGCTCCATGCCATGTCTAATCCTGACTTCAAGGCATTGGTAATTTCTAATATGACAATATAATTTAGTACCTGTTAAGTAAGGTAAAGTTTTCTTTGGCTCTCTCCTCTAACCGAATGAGCTTTTCTCTCTTGTTCTGGTTTGTTCCGAGTGTTGAGCACAGTGTGGGTGCTCCCTATGGTGGGTGTCAGTAAATATCTGCAGTCTCAGTGCCTTTCCTCCTGGCCGTGAGCAAGCGCCTCACCATTGGCAGCCTAAGGAGGAAAGGCTTGCTTTTGGCCCAGCTTGAGGGCATAGCCCAAGGATAGCCAAGACCTGGCATCAGGTGCAGAAAATAGCAGGTTTCATGTGCCTGGAGCCTGGGGTGGGGGGAAGAGAAAGAGAGAGGAAGGGAGGGAGAGACAGAGAGAGAGAGAGAGAGAGAGACAGAGATGAGTGACAGTACTCAGCTCTCTTTCTCATTCTCCTTTCTTTCTGAACGGGACCCCAGCCTGTGGGATCGTCTCTGGAAACACTCACGTCCATGTGTGGAGGTGCATTTTTACATGATTCCATTGTCTTGTCCAGCTGCCAGTGAAGGCTGAACATCAGGGTTACCGAATGGATGCGTGGATAGGCAGTGTGCACAATGCACACTGCGGCTTCAGCTGCCTCTCACTGCTGCCTAGGCTGGCATTCGCTCTGACTGCCCACGAACTGCTTGAGCAGGAGAGTTGAGCTCTTTTTTTCCTGTGCTGTTCCTAAGGACAGGATTGTTCCTAATTGACCAGGAGTGGTTTAGAGTAGTAAGAAAGCTGAAAATATCCACTAGTTTTAATTCTAGGGCTTACTGGAAGGTTTTGGTACATTTCTGTCTTAGAGACATATAAAATGCCATGAAGAGAAATGCAAGCAGTTGTTAGGAATTGAGAGGGATTTAGTTTTTGAGAAAAGTCTCACATCACTTAGAGTTTCTGGGTTTAATTAATTGAAGAGTACCCTGACATTAGAAGATGAATAAATGCTTAACTGTGTGATCAGGACTTTTCAAAGAATTTATTTACAAATTATAAAAGTAACACTTATTTAAAAAGTTTAAATAGCAAGGAAATGTTATGTGAAATGTGAGTCATTACCAAGAATGGAGAGGAATTTCTAAATGCTCGCCCTTGAATTTTATGTATGTACATATGTGTACACACACACACACACACACAAACTAAGAATATGTCGTAGATAGTTAAAAACACAATTGGTTCATGTTGTAGGTAGTCTTCAACTACATTGCCTTAAGAGTGTACTCTTTCAGTTCAGAAAGTCTTCGTTTAAATTCTTTGTTTACTAGCTATATTTTTAAAAAAATTA